GGGGGGGGGGGGGGGGGGGAAGGGGAAGGGGACGAGAAATAGAGATAGATGCGCTGCGCCGTTAAAGTCAAAAGCCAAAACCTCTTTCACAATGCGATTTTAAGAGAGGCATAGACATACGAGAGTGGCTCGAGTGGTCGGTGGTTTCTTTTTCCGATGGTTTCTGGCAAAGATGTGTCGATGGTTTCTTTTTCTAGGTTTACTTAAGCCAGTCGCGGCCATAAGTGCCGTAGTGATCCTCTCCACTGGCTGAAAATATAGTTTTTCCATTTTTATGCGTTTTATGTCGTGTGACAGCAATACAAAATGCATATTGTCACGGGGTTGTTTGTGTTTGCCCCCAGCAACTTGTTTTTTTTTTCTTAAATTGTGGTACTTTTTTCACGGTATTTTCAGAGGCTGTTCGCTCCTACGGTCCAGTGGACTTGTTTAATGAAGAATTACTGGCAAGGAAAATGATACGCAAAAAAAGAAGGCGTCTGTTTCGGCGTAAAATCAGAGAAAGCGTAAGTGGCGGCGGTCGATTGAGTGAAGAAGCATCATCATCTGAATCAGCTGAAGTCGAAGAATGTGCGACAGATCGATCCAAATCCAACCAAAATCGTGTAAATCGTCACGATGAAGCCTTTAGGATTGCTGAAATGCAGCCAAATGCTGAGCAAAATTCCGAAAAAAGTGAAGTATGCATTTTTATTTGAATTTAAATTTTCAAATTTTGTCTTGGGCTATATCCGCGTGGATGACACGGTGGGTTGAACATACAGAACATACGGATGTGAAACGCACTCAACTGCGAGGATAGAGGCGAGAAAACCGGCTGTGACGGAGAGAGCGATAGGGTGATGGAATTAGACGCACCTTCAGATAAGCTGGAAATATTGTTGCAGCCTTAGAACTAAACTTGAAATCCGACGGCAAAACATGTTACTGACTTTACGAGCAGTTTAAGCTGCTAGCAAGGCTTGTACTCCTATCTGCATGCGTAGTTCAGGCAGTGCTTACAGCCAAGGGATGAAACACACAGATAGACCGGGATGAAACACCGTTGTAAAATGTCTTCTAACATATGACACTTAAGTCCAGTCTCTCTCTATTCTACGATTTTTTGCCGAATGTAATTTCGGTCAGTGTTTACAGCTAAGGGATGAAACACACAGACAGACTGCATCGTAAAATGTCTTCTTACACATGACACTTAAGCCCAGTCCCTCTCTATTCTACAATTTTTTGCCGAATGTAATTTCGGTCAGTGTTTACAGCTAAGGGATGAAACATAGACAGACTGCTGCATCGTAAAATGTCTTCTTACACATGACACTTAAGTCCAATCCCTCTTTTTTTTACTGTTTCATGCACACGGCCACTTGGGCGGCCTTGAAGGGACGGAGTACATAAAATGGATGAGTGGTGGGTATTACTAACTGAAAAAATAGAGACATTTACTTTGTTTCATTTTAAATTTTATGATAAATTGCCGAAACGCACCTATTTCACCTCAGTTGACAACTTCCACAAAGAACTTACATTGTACAAAAATTTACTGAACTGAGATCTGAGGAAATTTAAACAGGGAACTCGAACTGAAGCTTGAGGAAGCTTAGTTTTTTTTTTTGAGAATTTGGAAAATTACTGGTTACAAGCAAAGATTTGGCGTGAAAACTACTTCCTGGTTGTTTTTTTTCCCAGATGCCGGAAAGGCGAAAGTATCGGGCGGCAGACGAAAATGAAATCTTGAACAGCTCAGAAATTCAGTCAATCTACGGTGCAGTTCGTTTGAATTCCGTCTCAGCTTTACGTCAACTGTTGGATGAAAATGAAGCGAAAAAAGAGAATTTGCTGAAATATATTCGAGAAAATAGGTTTCCACCGGATGGCTCAACTCTGCTGCACCTCGCTTCCAGAAGAGGCTTCGTGGAAATTATAAGTGTAGGTTTGTTCTGCAAATTATGTAATAAGTGTTCGGGACAGTGTTGTGTGATTTTTCACCTATTTAAGTTGGCAACTTTTCTGTGTAGTTGCTTTGTTCAACGCTACTTGACCTGATGATGACCGGCTGGCATTCATTATGCTTCGTTTCGTCTCCTGAAGGGATTACCAACTGGGGGATTGCTAAAAAAGCAATGATTCTGTTTTTGGCGTTGTCATTCCGGTTTCAGCGGCCAGTTTTCTCTCCTAGCGATACTTTCTGCATTATTAGAGGGATTTCAGAGCCTGAGATTTTGCTGATTTGGTTGGATTCGACGCTTTTTTTTGACTGTTTTGAAAATCTGGTTAAGAATTAGCAATAATTTCCAGGAATTGTTGTTACTGGGATGTGATCCAGCAGTAAAAGACAGTGATGGAAAAGTTCCATATCAGGTGCAATTTCTTTTTTTTTTAAATTTTCATAGTTGCTTTAACCAATGCTGTTTGTTCTAGTGGTCAGCTTGTGGGACCCTGGTTTTCCTTTCGTCCCCTGAAAGTTAAGTTCAGCTTGCTATAGCCAGCAAAAACACATATTGTCGAGAGGTTGTCTGTGTGTGTGTGTGTGTGCATTTTCAGAAGCGAGTGAACTTTGTCACCCACTTTCATCTTAGCAACTAGGAAAGCTGGAAGGCTGAAATTTTCGGTATATGTTCCTACCGGTGTGTCATCCTCCCGTTTTAAGATTTTCCTCTATTCCCCCACATCACGTACTGAGAGTCATTTACGGCTCCCAATAAAAATACTTGGCAAATTTTTAGTCGTCCTGTAATATCTTCGGCACGTATTTTTTTGCTGTTCTTTATGCATATAACTTCTTGGATGCACGTGAACCGCCATACGACATATGGGAGATTGATTTTCGGGACGTAGGATTTTATATGGGATGATTTGCTGGGACATTTTTAAAATCGTCTAGAATTTTGCAAGAAATAAATAGAAAAAATACGTTTTTTCTTATAGCTGGCGCAGAATCGTGCCGTTCGTCAAGCTTTCAGTCGATTTCGGTCCGAACATCCGAATGCATTCAACTGGAAAATCAGTCAAATACCTGAAATTGTGGAGCCGAGTGAAGAATATTTAGCTGCAAAGAAGCAAATTCAAAGGGAAAAGAAGAAACAGCGTCTGAAAGCCAGAAAAGCTGCTCAGTTCTTGCAAAAAAAAGAGCAAGTTAGTTGGTTTTTGAAGATGTGTTAACTTTGCAGCCCTGTGGACCGGCAGTTCATAGCTTTTTATTAATACGAGCTTGATTGGGCCTCTACGACCCGTACTACCCTTCCTATTTCGTTCCTGATTGTATTGGCCGGTGTTTGTAATCCTCTGAACGGGCTGTTTATAGTTTGTATTGATAGGATCCTCATAGGGCCTCTACGGCCCGTACTGCCCTTCCTATTTTATAAACGCAAAAAAAGTCAAGATCCTGCCCGGAAATAGCAGGACATATGATATATAAGACGCATAGTTCGTTGTTTTGAAAAATATTTATGTCATAAAGCTTTAAATTTTCAAAAAAAAAAATTAAATTTTGAGTTGTATCGTTCCCATTTGTGGTTTTTTATAATGCCTTTTTTTCTAAATTCTGTTTAGGATGAGCGTACAAAATATCTTACCTTATCGGATCAAGAAAAGAAAGAACTTTGTGCTGAACGTCTTCTTCCACAAGCATTACAAATACGGTGCAAAATTGTCGAGAATGATGGCAATCGTTGTTTTATGGTTAGTATTCCTTGTATAAATGTTGCAAAAGGAGTGTTTTAACAGCAAAAAAAAATGAAGTTGGCGGTAATTTCCTTCGCCTTATCCAGTTGCCCTTCGATTCCATGTGATATGCAAATGCCCCGTCTCGTGACTCGACGTTCCCCCCTCCCCCCTTCGTGATATGTAATGATGTAATTAGAAATGAAATGAAAATTGTTTTGTGGTGACAGATTATTATGCGGAGCAGCGTGGAGCTGCTGCCGAATCTTTCTCGTTTCCTAGTAAAACATTGTTTGTTGATTTAGGTAAGTGCTGCCCGCTGCCCAACGGGAGCACCCCTCCAGCTAAGCGGACTTCTACGTTGCTATTTTGGTGTAGTAAGAGACTTCTAATACCACGATAAAGGCGAGGGATCATCCTGTTATTTTTCCTTGTTTAGCTTTAGCTCCGTGATATTTCTCTGTAAATTGCCCTAAAAATAGGTTTTTCTTCCTTTTTTTTTTCAGTGCGGTTCCGTTTTGAATGTGACGCCGTTTGAATACGATGATTGCCGTTTCTGTTCACTTCCATGTTTGAAGCAACATCGACAGCAGAATCCAGCCCGACTTCCTCCATGATACTGTTATTTTTTTGATGATTTACGGGTTCTCGAGCAGATTAGCACTGACAACTGAGGACTTTTTTGAACTGTGAATACTGACAAAACGAATGGTTTTTGCTATCTTTTTCCTAAAGCAGATTTTGAGAATAATAAATGAAATATTCTTGACAGAAGTTTCAAATCAGTTCGGAAAATGTTTAAAAAAAATTATTTTTTTTTGTGTAAATTTGCCCCATCGTATTTTTATTATCGGTTTTCCCGATTTCTATCAAATAAACATTGCAATGGAGTTTTTTGTCATCTTTTTTTTTGATGAGTTTTCCTCGTACAGAACAAGAAATATTTCTTTTTTTTCTAAACCGAAAGCGATATAGTTATTGTGCTTGTATTGCATAAAACCAATCGCTGTTTCGTAGCTGATCTTTCAACGATGCAGCTGGCAACTTCTCCATTTTTTTTAACCAAAGCTACAGCACCTGTTGGTCAGCCTGTTAGCGATCCTAACGTTCGTTTCGTCGACTGAAGGAATTACCACCTCAGTGGTTATTTTCTTCCTCCCAAACAAGAAATTTTCTTCATTTTAGCTGCTGGATTTGCTTTATTTTTTGGATTTCCTGTCACCAATTTGACGGGAAATGTCGGATTTGGCTGCTTTCTTAAGGTAATTGTATTATTTACAGTAATTTGACATATTTTGTTAGAAAAATTGGAGGCGGTCTTATATGTTTATAGCTGCTACCTATTTTTTTCTTTCCCACCTGTGATTATAGGGAAGCCGTGAGCAAAAATGCTGAGACTTTCTTGTTTTCGAATGATTATTTAGAAAATAATAGGAAAACGGGTTAATATTCCTGTACTTGGACACGGAGATAAATACTCATTACGGGTGTTTAACACGGTAATGCAAACGAACTCGGAGATGTTGAGCAGAGCCCGAGCCAGAGTTCTCTTTTCTGTTAAGGAACGGACTCCCTGGAATTGGTTAGGCCGGAAACAGGGTGTTTTCCCCTACGCACAGTAGCGAATCTCAATGAGTGTTACGCCTGAAACGGCTTGAAAAATTTCACTCTATTTGTTTTTGAACAGAGTCATTTCACGAGTTTTCTGGCTGTACTGGTTGATAGATTCCGATGATTCTTTGGGAAAATTTCGAGAGAAATGGCGTTTTCGCTTAATGAACTTGAAAAACGGCAGCTGGAAATGGGTGATTTTTGAAATGAGAAGTTTAGCATAGCCAGTTATGTTGTGATTTTCTCAGTTGTTAAGTTAAAATCTGATTTTATTGATCGGGTAACGTTCTGTCGAATGCATGAAATAAGAAATCCCGGATTGCGACTTCGATTTTTGAGCTTTAGCACTTGAATATTTGAATATCAGACCAGGAGTGAGATCGGTCATGTACAAAATCAGAAGAATTGATCTTAGGTCCCAGAAAAAGTTTTTTCCTTGATTTAGATGCTGTTCATTTTTTGGATTCACTCGATTTTTCCGC